GCGCTCGTCGAGAATGGCTTCAACTTCCCATTCGTCTTCGTCGTCAGAAACATTGGTGATCACTGGTGGTGGCCGTTCTGGCTTGCGTCCTACATCGTCAGGTTCCAAATATTTCTTGAGGGCGATCACATGGAAAACGTTGTGAGCCCTGATCGAAGCCGGCAAATCAAGCTTGTATGCCACGGATCCTATACGTTCAAGGATTTTGTAAGGACCCGCGCACCGTGGAAGTAACTTTCTGGCGGGAGCGTTGGAATAAACATCAGGATTCAAGTGGGTCGTCTTGACTAATACGTCGTCATCCACGTCGAATTCCAGATTACGTCGCTTCATATTGGCATACTTGGCTTGGCGATCCGTTGCTTCCTTGATTGCCTCAGTGACTTGAAGACGGATAGACTCCAAACGTGTAGCGAGAACGTCTGCTGAATCAACATCGGAGGAGGCAGATCCCGTGGTCAAAGCGAGTGACACCTGTCGTCCCAAGTCAGCGTAAAAGGGTGTTACCCCTGTAGAAGCGTGCTTGGCGTCGTTGTAGGTGTGCTCGAGGACCGGCAGCCATTCGTCCCAATCCGATTGATTATATGCAACGTAATGACGAAGCATATCTTCAAGCGTTCGATTCGTGCGTTCCGTCTGTCCGTCTGATTCTGGGTGTAGACTGCTGGACAAATTTCTTTGTACCCCAAGCATCGTCGTCAAGGCCTTCCAGAATCTAGAAGTAAAGCGGACATCTCGATCCGAGACTACGTCTGATGGTAAGCCGTGCTGCCGGTATATCTCACGCAAAAACAGATGAGCAAAATCCTCTGCTGTATCAGTCGTCTTGCATGGAGCAAAATGTGCGCGCTTTGAAAACCGATCCACAAAAACGGCAATTGCATCGAACTTATGTAGCGTCTTCGGCAAGTGTGTGATAAAATCAACCGAAATCGAGGTCCATCGTCCAGAAGCTAGTTGCAATGGCTGCAACAAGCCTGCTTTTTTGGCATTTGGTAACTTGGTACGCTGGCACATGTCACACGTCGCAATATAACATCGCACTGTTTTGTTCATATGTGGCCAGTAGTAAGTTCGTCCACGTCGTTCGACCGTTGCATCGATGCCGCGATGACCGGCGATTGGTGCGTCGTGTGCGTCATGCAAGAGGGTGTTGAGAAGCGTTGGCATGCGCGGCACACAGATTTGGCGTCGTCCATCTTTTTTGCGATAGATGATGCCGTCGGCTAGTTCGAACTCTTCGTCGTCGTCGTTCGTCCGAAGCCGAGTCAAAACGTCTGCCCAAAAAGAATCGTCCTTGTAGTGCTGAGTGCATTCCTTGCCAAGCGTCTCCCCCCTCACTGTGAGGACCGCAGCACAAAGTTCCATTGAGACGTCGGGGTGAGAAGGAGCATTGGGCGGTCGTTTTGATAGAGCGTCTGCACCAGTATTCTGTTCTCGAGGAATATGATGCATGTCAAACTGATAGGCCATCAGCTTTTCCAACAAGCGGATCTGACGCTTGGAGAGACTCTTGTTGTTGGCGTGTAACGTCGAGATGGCGCGGCTGTCCGTGAACACTGTGAACTTTTGACCGTCCAGATGATGTCGCCATTGTTCTAAACAGTACGACACTGATAAAAGTTCTTGTTCGTGAACCGGGTAATTCATCTCTGCGCCCTTCAACGTCCTCGAAGCATAAGCAACCGGATGCAATAAACCGTCGTCCTGCTCCTGTGAGAGGATACCACCAATTGACACCGTTGATGAAGCGTCCGTGTGTACGTAAAAGTGGCGGTCAGGATCTGGGATTGCAAGCACCGGCGCGGAACATAAACGTCGCTTGAGTTCCTGAAAGGATTTTTCACAAGCATCATCCCACTCCCAAGGAACGTCCTTACGCAGTAAGCGATTGAGAGGGGCAGTGAGGCCAGCATATCCATCACAAAAGCGTCGATAGAAGTTACACAGGCCTAAAAAGCTCTGGATATGAGCAATTTTCGTTGGTCGTGGCCAGGTGGATATTGCGTCGAGCTTATGTGGGTCGCATTTGATGCCGTCGCCTGAAACAATGTGGCCAAGAAATTCGACGGAGCGCATCCCAAACTGGCATTTCGACCGCTTCGCGTAAAGTCTATGGTGCCGCAACTTTTCCAACACCAACTTCAGGTGCTTGACGTGATCGTCGGCCGTCTTGGAGTAAATCAAGACATCGTCCAAGTAGAGAATCACGAATACGTCGAGATATGGCCTAAACACGTCTGACATTAAATGCATAAAGGTAGCGGGCGCCGATGATAGGCCGAAGGGCATTACTAAGTACTCGTAAAGCCCATATCTCATCAAGAAGGCCGTCTTGTGTGTATCCTCGTCCTTGACCCGGAGTTGCATATAGCCGGAGCGGAGGTCAAGCTTGCCCAAATAGCGCGCCCCAAGAAGCTGGTTCATGAGATCTTCGCACGCCAGTAGAGCGCATTTGGATAACACACTCGTCTTGTTCAAGGACCGATAATCGATCACCATGCGCAGAGTCTTGTCCTTTTTTGCGACGAACAGGACAGGAGCACCGTAAGGTGACGTCGACGGTCGAATCCAACCCTTAGCCAGCAAGTCGTCGAGCGTTTTCTTGAGCTCAGCCAACTCATGCGTAGAAAGGCGATACATACGATGAGCTGGTACTTTGGCGTCTGGCAGTAAAGGTATGGCGTGTTCGACACTGCGCTTAGGTGGTAGACTGTGGGGAACATCTTCGTATTTTTCCAATACGTCGTCAAGTCCAGGAACAAAAACACGATCGCCATCCACCATAAATTTCTCTGCACATAATACAACAAAACCGTCATCAGTAACGTCATTAACGAGTTTGTTGCCAATACAATGAGAAACGTATTGTATTTCCTTTGGTGTAGGTGGTGGTCGTGGGTGAACGTCATTCGTACGCCAGTCAATTTCCGGGTTTTCGTCATACAGCCAGCTTTTTCCCAAAATAACGTCATGGTCGTCGCTGCGTATTCCCGAAGAAAGGCGAATAGGTGTTGAAAAGTCGTCCATTACTACTGTTGCGTCCAAGTAGCATGTTGAATCGGTTGTTCGTGCGTCGGCAACTTTTACGAAAGAGCCAGGTGTTGATTGAGTTACGGAGATGAGTCCTGTTTGTTTCAGGAACTCAGCCGTCACAAAATCATGTGTTGCCCCGCTATCAATCAAAATCCTTGCTTTGTGCCCACTATTAAAGCCATTTCGTCGGATTAAGATATGTCTAGCAAACTCCAATTCTCCCATATGAACAGTAGCGTCTGTTAAAGAGAAAGCATGAGAGGGTGCCCAACCGCGCCGTCAGATTGTCGACAGCTGCAGTTGTGTTGGTGGTGGCCTCCCCCAGGCGACCAAAACGACTATTGATGGCGTCGAGGTCTGACCGGATGCCCTCGAAGTTCTGGCGCGTCGTTGCTGCATGGCGTTGCAACGCGTCAATGGCCGTCGCCATGTTGGTGTCCGTGGGAGGGACTGTCGTCGCAATGGTTGCACTAAGGGGTGCGGCTGGCTGCCCCTGATCGACAATGGGCGTCGTCGCCGCCGCGGTTGCCCCTTGATCGGCAGTACCTGCGCTGGTCGTGGGTGTGAAGGGATTCGATGAGGACGCTACTGCATTCTTCTATACCCCCTAAAAGAAGTTTCTCCTGCATCAAGCATAAAGAGGATGTTTACGCCACTCAGCCATCAATAGGGGGTTCGCTTAGGAACCGATTGCGGAGGGGCACATGCCGGCTACTTTGGCGCCTTATGCTCCTATTATCAAAAAATTACATTACATAAGCGTGTCTTGGATAGCACAAAGTGTCACTCTGTAAGAGAAATGATGCGGTACGCCACTCTCTACACCATACCATGTTACATCCACTTTTACTCCCAAGACTCAGTGTACCCGCACGGAATAACAGTACGCCGTAGATAAGCAATCGTTCTGTATAAGCTGTATTGCTATAGACCTTTGTAGTGAAAAGATTCTTAAACCTGTGTATGTTTTGATGTAGAAGGCATTTGAAGATGTTATAAAAGTACATGCCATGGATTTCATGAAACTCAGCTCCAGTTCTTTTTCGAACCGGTCCCTATGCTCCTTATATTCCTATCCACATCCCGGGGAGAGACTTTCTTTTAGCAGCCTTTTATCTTTTTCAAGTACTTTTCCAATGCTTGTCATGACCGCCATGTCGTTGTCCGTCTTTTCAATTTTCGTTGCGCAAGCAATACAGATGTAGCCTGCATCGTATTCAACCGCTGTCTTTCTGCTTGCTTTTCGTTATCGGTGTGGGCACCTCAAATTGATGGCATTGTTATTAATATAATTATTAGTGTTGGGTGGGCGGTGTAGGAGGAGTCGCGTTCGCCTGTCGAATTGCTCGCCTCGACAACATACATCTCTGTACCTTTCGCACCATTTTGACAACCTTGAATCCAATTAAATATCCCATTTTTCTGGGAGGTCAAAACGTCAATCCTGGACATATGTGAAACTTCTCAGAATAATTTGCAAAAAGTAAATTGGTCACTTTGAGATGTTTAAAAACGCGTATGAGTTTCAACAACAAGAAGAAACACGAAAAGAAACTCTAGTAGTCTCAGGTTCTACGAAACAATGGCTAGTTGTTACACACATCGATCGACGTCTCACACTATTGTATATACAGTTGTATACAATAGCATCAGCTACTTTCATGCGTAGAGTGCTATACTGGCTGATGCCTGCCCCCCATTCATCATTCGAGTCACTGAATAGCAGCAGAAAATAACCCATCGTTAACTGCTTTTAGGTATTAGCTCAACTGTACTTTTTGGAATTGGTTCGCATTGTTTGTGAAACCAAGCTACAAGGGACGGGAGGCCGAGAACAAGCTATCTCCGTTATAATTTAGGGGCCTGCTCTAAGGAAACAAGCAAATCTAGTAGCAGAGGTGGCCAATATCTGGAAAACCGCTTGACCTTTTGATCCAAGTTTCAATGCAAGTAATCACATGTAGTTCGATGTCGTGAAAGTGTTGAGCCCAAGGATATACATGATGTATCGCGTGCTAAAGGTACAGCTGGCAGATGACATCTTTAGAAAAAAGGAAAACGGATCTACTGCGCGCATTGACTAATGACCTATAAATAACTCTGTTCCAAATTTATTTATTTTTTCTTTGGGTCTTTTTTAATAATAGTTTCCCGGTACCTTGGCGCTCCTATTTGTTTCTCTTTTTCTCAAACGCGCATCAAGATAACCAGAAAAAAAACAAAAACAGCCTAGTAATACCAGCCCCCACTTGAATATGGCACGCTTTGCTGATTGTTTCTGGGTAAATGTCCAACTGAATTATTGCACAGTATCCATTGTGTCAATGACTTAAAGTTTCTTGGTGGAATTAGGACGAGAATGACAAGGGTGTCGAGGTCGTTACTGAAAAGTTAAAAAACTCAAGACAAACGTGCGATGAGATCAACAGCCTCTACGAGATTAGGTACGTAATACCCGCCGGGAGCGCCACCACTCTTTCTATTACGACGACAAGGACACCGAAAAAAAAAGAAGTCCTTTAATTCTAAAACATGGGGGTTGGGCATTTGTGTTGCTGCACGTTCCCTTCCCCTGAACCAATCTTCAGAGCGCAAATCGAAGAAGAATATGGTGAAAAGTTATTAAAGCTATCGCAAATGATGGTGGGCCAGGCCGAAGAGGGTGCACTTTCTGAATCAGTATCGCACATTCCGAGCGCCATTGAAACGACAGCGCGTGCGCATATGGACTTGGCCCAACAGCTTCGACACAACCTGCAAAGCGCGTTGAATGGATTCTTAAAAGACCATAACGAAAAGTGCAAAGCTGTAAGTTTTATCACCAGAAACAAAAGGGGAGGGGAAGATATGGTGTTTCGTTTGACTGACGCTTGATCTACTACTACTACTACTACCACCACCAGCAAGAACAACAGATCGAAAATTCTAAACAACTGCGAGTTATGCACCATGCGAATGTACTCAAGGTAATATCTGATTTTCTTTTGGAGAGGAGAAAAAAAGTAGTAACATTCTTCACTTGATTGTATGAAACTAAAAATCTGAATCCCCCTCTCTCTCCTTTTTAATGACAGGCAAAAGATCAGTATTTCGCTGAGCATACAAAATTGGCAGGGATGGAGAAATATTTGAAAGACCAACGGACGGAATTGGATCCGGATGAAGTACAGCAGGTATGCAAACCGTGAGAGGACGAGCACGAGAAGATGGCTAGCAAGTGGCTGATGATCTCTTCATAATAAAAAAGGTCGCGGAAGATATCGAGGAGCAGAAGAAACTGTTAGCAACGGCTGGTAAGCTTGTTTAGTAATCTCAGATAGCCAGCATTTATTTGATCTTTGTAGAACTGACTCAAGAATAGACCAACAGTATAAACGAGCGGTCGATGTATTAAACGATGTTACGGAGAAATGGATTGCTGATTGGCGTGGCACTTGTGATATCTATCAAGGTCTCGAGGAATCACGCATCAACTTTATTCGAAGCAGTTTATGGGGGTAAACGTTTTGTCATCTTTGATGCCACCAATGTACCAATGTTTTTGTTTTTGTTCTCATGTATCTTTTGTTTTAGATTCGCAAATATGATGTCTAGTGTATATATTGTAGACGATCAATGCTGCGAAAGAATCCGTAGCTCTCTCGAATCGACCGACGTGCAACAAGACGTACAGACATTTATTGGCAAGTATAGCACAGGCACCAGAGTGACAGGTACGGATATAGAAATAGATCTGGGATTCTTGGCAAAGGAGGAGGAGGAGGTCAATTTCTGCCTTTATTGACTTTTTTTTTTGTGCCCGTCAGATTTGATGCCATACGAAGACCTGTCACAACCAGGTGCGCATCCTAATCGAGGATCTCAAGCGCCGCCACCCACGATAGCACTACCACCGCCACCTACTGCATTACCGGATGTACCTGAAGAAACGTACAATAAACCGTCACCACCTTCAATCAGCTCTTCCCGATCACGCCAAAGTGGACAAAGCGGATTTGATAATACGCGCAACAGTGCCGCGAGCACACGGGATCTCTCAGAAAACATTCCCGCTACAACCACCACCACCACTACCGCTGCTATGCGACAATCGGTACCTCCCATTATAAACCCCGCTCCTTCCAAAGAAAGGGCAATGTATCGTGACCGACAGAATCATCAAGGGCGAGACGATCACGATACCGTGTCGTTTGCATTTGAAGAGGTCGAAAACATGCTTAGCAGTGTGGGGACATCGTTGGATGTGAGCAATGGAGGCCTGCGACAGTCGTTGGTATGGGCAACACAACAACAACAACAGCAACAACCAGCTGGATCCATGGCAAATAATCATCACCCAGCACAAACACAACGACCGATTTCTCCTCCCCCTCCATCTACAGGATCGTCACAAACACCAGCGGTGGTAACCACCCCAGCGACAGACGATCCAACGAGCCCGCAACAACCTTTGAGTTCTATAACACCGTCTGCACTAGCGAATGCGGTGAATGCAGCATCCAGTTCAGCGCCTATTCCTGTTATGCACCCCTCGGAATCAAGTCGATCTAGATTATCTGCAGTGGGTGTATCATCACCATCCCATACTGCTCCTCCCCTCAGCAACAATGTCCCATCCTCTAGCAGTGCGACACCTTCTGACACGTCCTCACCACCCATCCCACGCTCGATTTCTCCCGGCCCATCACAACAGCAACAACAACAACCAACTCCTGCATCAGCCCCACCTGTCAACATGTCTCCCTCATCCTCCGATATACCACAACGCGCCACACCACCTTCTTCACTCAAAAACAACAGCGGCATCGAATCGGGCGGTGGCAATTTACGCTTCAAGCCCATTCCCAACCCAATATACGATCCAGAAACAAAACGTAACAGTCAAGAAAACCAACGTTCTTCAACAACAGGAACAGCTCCTGTTACTGTCACCAACGCATCTGCAACAACAACAACTTTTTCGGCAGCGACAGCAGCAGTAAGTACACCTATACCAGGACCTGTCAACAGCAACAAGAAGGACGATGATGACGACGATGAAAGTGAAGACGAGTTTCCACCGTTGACACAACGAAAGCCCAGAGAAGAAAAATGGATGATTTCATCGATGCGTCGACCGCAACAACTTCCAGTACGATCACAAAATGCACGAATCTACGATCGACAGAGTACGATTGAAGATGGAGCAGCAGCAGCACAGCAACAACAACGGCCTAAACTACACATTGATACCAACCCTGGTGCGGCCGCACATCAAGTCATGACGACGGTTCGTGCTCAGTTACAGCAAGCCAACAATTTCTCATCCCCTGAAACGGCCAGCACAGTCAATCCTGGTATTCGCGCTGCGCCATGGCAACAAGGATCGAATGATTCGCAGGCTGTCACGAATTTATATAAGCGTGCTACTACGACTGCTACAGGACTTGGGCGTCAAAATAGTGTGAATGGACCACGATTACCTGAAAGCGGTGCTGATATCGTCCCGCCAATGCCTGGAGAAGATTATATCCTGAAGCATGGAGAAAGTGCAGGGTCCGATTCATACCAACAACAACAACAACGCTATCAACAACAGCGCGAGGATACGCGATTTAATAGTAACGTTGCACGACGACATCAGTCTACCTATGCGGATATGGGAATGATGCAGCAACAGCAACAACAACAAGAGACACGACCACCGCCAGCAACTCAGAATAAAGAGCATGGTCATTTTGGTGGGCGTGTGTCCATTCCATTCTTTGGAAAGAAGGATAAGCAGCATCAGCAGCAGCAACCACCACCCATGCCGCAACAGCCGCCCATGTCCAAACAAGATCCCACAAACGATCAACAACAAGCAGCAACACAATCAGAGCGACTTTCAGACGGCGCGCCGATTCTTCATTATGGTAACTGCTTTTTCTTTTTGATATCAAGAAAACATACATTTTTAATTATTCATCAATGATTCAAAAATTATTTTAGCACGTTCAATGTGGGCCTACAAAGCCAAGATTCCACAGGAAATGTCATTCAATGTGGGTGATGTATTTGCTGTTGTGCACAAGCAACCGGATGGATGGTGGGAAGCGGAATTATTGGATCCAAAGCGACCAGGACGAGCACTTGTACCCGGAAATTACATGGAAACCATACAACCTAGCAACTAATAGTTATTTAACCACTCTGTTTATATATATATATATATATGTAGTGTACATTTTAAATTGAAATATATATTATATATATATATAATGATTTTTATAATATTTGTAATAATTCATCACTTTTACGTAAGCTGGAGAAAATAAATATAGAGTCTCTAAACTGCTTGTATACCGCAAAAAGATGTCTTATATACCGCCTGCAGGCAATTCCATCTTGCGATTTTATCCATGGCAAATATTGGACAGTCGACCAAACCGTTCGGTTTCTACTACTGTATGTAGTCGCTAACTGACATTATTCCAAAAGTGTATCACTAGATGATAAATTACTTTTATGAAGAAGTAAGGTATAATATATATACATGATGTCGTATTAGAGGGGTTGTTAACCGACAGAATAATATTATTAAAGAGGGTGAGGGAGGCAAAAATTAAACTTTCCGGAAAGGGTTGAATCCACCGCGCATGATCTTGACAACGAGAGCGAGCACGCCCGCACCAAACATCATGACACCACCAAAAACAATGGCACGCCAATACTGGGGGCCATCAGGCCCGTTTTCATCAATCAAGGTAGAAGAGATAGGAGAGCCAAAGATACCACCAAACAACCAACCGAAAAAGACCAAACCATTTGCGGCCTCGAGTTGGTCTGCGCCGACGACCTGGACGAGCAGAGAAGGGATCATGGCCATGTAACCACCACCAAAGACGCCGAACAACGCAGCAAATGCCCACACCGTGGCCTCGTTCTTGGCAGGAAGCCATAGCACGAGGCACAAAAGACCGGCCATCATGATGACAATGGTGTTCATGTTGGCTCGGCCTATACGGTCACTTGCCCATCCACTGCCGACTTTGCCAACCACCATGATACCGGACATGATGGCGCTCATGTTGGTTGCCGTCCAGTCGCCTGATCCAACATGTTGTGCGTATGCTAAAAAGAAGAAAACCATATGAGTACACTTTTTGTGTACTCTCCTCTGGGTTGGAACTATCTATCACTTACAAGGTAAAAATGTGGATGGAATCTAATATGCAAGCAGAAGACAATAATGAGCAAAGTGAAGGATTAGTAGGAAGCGTCTTTCGATAAAAACAAGTTCCAGAAAATGAAGGGGGCCTCTTACGTTGAAGGCAAAGTTAGTGATCACTTGGATGACGAAAAGAATACAAAACTGGACATTCTTGAAAGGCACCAAAGTGACAGGGAACCCAGGTTTGCGAGGAGGATTGAGGGGACGAACGACTTGGGTTGAAAAGGCCAAGAGGACCAAAACGATAAACCCAAGAATCCGCATCGCCCAGTGAATACCGACGGTCTTCATCAACGCCTGAGCAACATTGTTAAACACCAACCCACCACACCCGGACCCAGCCATGGCAAGACCGACGGCCAATCCTCTGCGCTCCATAAACCAAGACTGAGGTGCTGAAATACAAGGAAACCAAACCAACGAAGCGCCCAGTCCCAACAAGAACCCTTGTGTCAAGTACAAGTGCCAAATCTCGGAAGCCAAACTGGCCATCATGAATCCCAGGCACGAACACAATGCGCCAGCGACAAGTAGCCAAAAGTAACCGATCCGCCATGCCAAATAGTTGAAAAAGGGACCAAGAATGACGCTCATTGCTAGCCACAGTGAGCCGATCCACGACAGTTCTGTCATGTGTTGTGGAAACATGTGTTCATTGTAGTATGCTAAAAAGGTGCCCCTGTGGTAGTAGTGATAGAAAATAATTAATGCATAAACTTGCTACTAGGTACACACATATATATACATCATTGAGGAGGGTGGCGTTTCTTACCAAGAGTACCAAACACCTTGACTAGTGTCGTGATGGAGTTTATTTACATCTATGCAAGTTAGAAGAACGTCTGTGTGCAATCATTGCTTGATGTCACTGGAGGGATAGCTTACGTGCTGAATAGACCCTGTGTGATGCCGTATAAGAAAAGAAATAGAGTCAGTATATTTCTTGAAGCTGTGTGGAAGGATCCGGTCCCATGGGAACTTACAAAGAAACATCCGACAACGACAAGCCAGCCTCGACCCCCATCGGGTGGATCTTGGAGTGTGGGGTGGGTTGCTATGCTTTCAACATCTTCGTCCGTATGTATATCGTTCTCGGTGGCGGCCGTTTTCCTATCAATCAATTTCTTGATGGTCGCCATCTCTTTTTTGCTGAGTTAAATAAGATTGGAAGAAGAGAGAGGGAAAGAAAGAGAGAGAGAGCGCTGTGCCCTGAGGTGAGGGAGAGGGGGGGCGCGACCACGTAGGAAAAAAAAAATTTCTTGTTCAGAACCTTATTGTGCTTACTCAACACAGTTATACTTCTTGGATCTACCCCCCGCCCCCCACTCACTCTTTCTGGATTTTACCCAACATTTCCTGTCCCTTTTTTCCCCCTTCTACTTCATCAGACATGTATGTGAGCCATTGATTTGCTAGTTCCAACCATGTTTCTGTGTAGTATGCATGGACAAGGGAAGAAAAAGACAGTGTCACACCTTGATTTGATTTCGTGTGTGCGACATGATGAAAAATTGGATAGGGTAGAAAATACACTCCCCCCCTCCTTTTGAGCTTTTTTTCTGTACATTTACAAGTAAAAGTGTGTGTCGTCACGTGTCTTTTTTTTTATTATTGATTGAAAATGGCAGAATTACACATATACGCAACAAAAGGGGTTTGTTTGTGTTTGACTTTTCAAACAGTTCAAGGCTTGATACGGTACTTTGTGTAACTCCGTGGATCTGTTGTAAAACCAAAAAAAATAGAGTAGAGTGGGGGTTCAGCGGTATACTTTCAAGAAGTGTATGCTGGGTTTTACATATGATCGCTGATTCATTTTACCCTGAACAAACGGTATTTTTTTGGTCTATTATCATGTCGTATTCCTCACCTCACGTCCCACGGACTTGACAGGTGAGGGCCGAACCGAATCGTAAAAGGAGTGTGTGAGAGTTTAACTTTTTTTTTAAAAGTCAATGTTTGGTGGAACAGAGGGACTTGTTTAAATCCATCATCACTCAAAATGTACGTAATGCGTTACCATGATCTCCATGACAACGGCCGTGGGGTAACCAAGGAGACAAATCAGGCAACCATTTGGCGTCCGTTTTCCCAACAACAGCACAGCTACTACGGGTCGTTGTGAGCTCAGAAACATCTCTGGACGACAGAAATGTGCGTGAGTGTGTAGAATTGCCACAGTGGTACATGTGCAACCCCCCCACCTCTTGTCATCCGACTCTTTTGTCATATAGGATGGTTTACAGTAAAAAAAAAAGTACTCTGATCTCGTTATTACACGTACTATACGATGATCAAGAGTCACCCATCCACCTTCGTTGATAAATAACGCAGGATGAACAGAATGATTATATAACGGGTGGGTGGGTGGGGCAAAGGAAAAATATGTATTATGTCTGTTGAGTAGATTCCTCCGTTCCTTGTGTGTGATTTCAAATACTAAGCTTGCCAACTGCATTTTCGATCAAGCGTACATCCCCATCCTCAAATCCATGCAATACCCTTCGTTTGCTGGCACTGACATTTTTCCGAGGCACGTTGAGGCCGAACGCTGCCGCCATGCCACCCGAAGCATCCAATGGTGTTGTTGTTGCTGCTGCTGCTGTTTTGTTGTTTTTGGACACCAGCAGTGCAGTCATTTCCGCACAGCTTTCAAGCAAGGGTTTGCATGTCGGGTGTGCTTCTGCCAATGCCCGCAGCTTGTTTTCCAAGTCCAGGCTCCTCCAGGTATCGACAAACCACTCGTTCCCATATTGCTCGCCGACCTTACCCACGAGTTGGATCATGGCGTCGACCACCTTGGTTGCAACGGTATGCGGCATCGCGTGTGGATCGTATTGCACAAGTTTCATTAAAGCGCGCGGCAGGTCTCGGAAGCGATCTAGCAGTGTTCTTTATATTAAAGAACAAGATGGTTTTTAGTTCTAACTCTCTCTTTTTCCAATTTCTAGTAGTAGTAGTAGTAGTAGTAGTAGTAGTAATGATCTTTCCCATGATTTGTATGAAAGAGAAAGACTTACGAGATATTCTCCTCACTACCAGCAGTCAGGAAATTGCAAATGATCCATAGCGCGTCTGTAGTGATTTTCCACTCTTCAACCATCGTTCCAGATTTAAGCTTGTTGTTGCTGCTGGGTGTCCATTCTCCGGCATGATACGTGTGGTGAGGCACGCAGATATGGTCACGTGCATAATGGATCAAACGGGCTTCTACCAACATGGTCCTCTCTACAAAGTCTTCGTTGCACGCTACCAGATTTGCAACCACCAGATACGTGTCTCGTCGAACGGCCGTCTCAGTCTCTGGTGACATGAATGGAATCAAACGTCGTACAAGTTGCTTGTCGATCAGTCGCATACAATACATGTCTGGGAGTGAGGTGATGTTGATCAGCGCGCGTAGAATAGGTATCGTCACTCCTCTTCCGTCCTCGCTACATGTACACAGCTTTTTTGTTATCTTTTTTTTTTTTTGTGCAAAGCTAGTGCCAGAGAAATCAAGAGCTTACTGCAGCAGTTCGGCAAGTCGTGCGGGTAGTTGTGATGAGAATGTAAAGTTTTCGTAAAACGGTGTCACGCCATGCATGTTGTGTAGAATACGTGATAACCCCCATCTAGTTTGTTTTTTTTTGTGACAAGGAAAAGCTTTGGGGTTAATGGCACTGTAAAAGATAAAAATTTACAATAATTCTGTTTTTTATACCCTCCATCAATCCATAGGTCAACATGATCGAACAGAATGCAATGTGAAAGCGCTTCAAATGCTAGGACATACTATGTAAAACCGTCAACACGTTGAGTCGCATCATCCAAAAAAGATTGAGTCCAAAATTAAAGAGCATGGGTTAGGGCAGTTTTCGAACCTTTGGCCAGTAATCCGCTGTATAAAATCCACCCCGGCTCATGTTGGATATTGCCCAGGTCAACGCCTTGATGTCTGTTAATAATTCGTCGTCAAAGATGGATGTGATTTCGCCATAACACCCACAGTCGCGAGCATCCTCTCTGGCTTTGGCAGATGTGTCGATCAGTACTTGGGCCACTGCTGCGATTGCATCGTTTTGACACAAGAGTTGTCGTAGTTGAGGTGATTCGCCTGCAAAGTTTGATAATGCCCAGGCCGCCTAAAGTTTACCACCCCCCCTTATTCTTTTAGTTTTCACCTCCTCACTCAACGCATTCCTTTAACCCGACCTCTTTTTGGGGATTTACCTGTGTCTTGACGTTGCTGGCTGTCTTTTGAGAGTGCAAACATTGTAGCAGACCGGCAATGAAATCAGCGTTCACCAGCTGTTCTGTTTGTTTGGAGGAACCGGCCTAACACACACCATACACAATAAATTAGTGAGCTACAGACGCAGCAGTGTCAAGAGAGACAGCCAAAAGGATATAGATAGAGAGATAGAAGAAAGAAATATGTTGTGGGTTTGCTGCGGAAACGAGTTGGGACAAGGCATAGAAGAAGGAGTAAGATTATACCGCAATGTTCGTGACAATCCAGGCTGCTTCAAACTAATAGATCAAATTAGCTTTCCCATTCCAAACTGAAAGAAGTGTGTAAGACAAAGCACGTACCTGTATACCCTGCTGGTCATCGAGAACCAAAAGCTCGCGCAATCGTGGTAATACGTCCAGGTTGAGAATGTCATCAACACATGCGTTTGAGCTGCTTGCTATATGTATCGCGTCAATGACATTTAGCTTTGTTTTTTAATAAAACTTTTTTTTCTTCTTTGCATCAGATCTCCCGTTTAACACATCCATGTATATATTTTACCTTGGGTCAAATACTTTCGTAGCATTTGTACGCTCTGGAAACATTCACGCTCGTTCGGCCGTGAGTTACAAAGATAATATTTGATCTCTGGCAACTATGCATAAGTTAGTTGTCACTGCAACTCCGGTCGTTCTCCTCGCCCTTTGATACTACGCGTGTATCGTTGTAGTGGTAGTAAACAGTACACCTATACATACAGTGTCTTTTTGAACAATGTCATGTTCACTATTAAAGTTCAACTGGGTCAGGGATACATTGGCGAGTTTGCGGTTGATTTCATAGAGAATATCGTCAGGATCGAATTCGTCCTCTGTGGTCATGTTTGAGGGAAGGCTGGCGGAAAAAAAAGAAGAGAAAAAAGTGTGGCAAAGGGAAGTTCGGGTTTCTGTAGTTGCGTGTTTGAAATTTGTATAAAGAAGGAAACGCGCGTATAAAAAATGGCAATTAGAAAGAAAGGTATCTGTATGTGTTCTGTGTTTGGTAATTAAAAAGAAGGGTATTCGTAATGGTGAATGCTTTGAATGCTTCGCGCAGTTTACACGCGTTATAGAGAGAGAGAAAGAAAAAGAGAGAGAGAGAGAGAGAGTATCTATGCTGAGAGGGAAAAAAGAAATAAAAAGTCCCCCACTCAAAATTGGGGCCACATAACCATTGTCGCTGGGTATTTTAGACAGAATTGCTATTATGCAAAAAAATCCCATGCACACAATGACTTTTTTTAATTGCAGTCGATGATGGACACTACGACCACTGCCCGTGGGTCTGCTCGGTAATTGAGTTTGTGCGCCTGAGTATAATGTGCATCATCATCAACAGTCCGTGCGAGTCTGAACCATTACATTTAGCCGCTGTCCCCGCCGGACAACCACACTAACATATCGTTTTTGTTGCTGCTACTGTCTGCACCGATACACCACACATCCCCGAAGGTGAGAGCGGGATTTGACTTTTCATGCAACTTTTTAAAGGTAATTCGATCAGAGAAGAGACCGACAAGAAGGAGAGTGAAAAATAGAGACAGGAGTTTAATAATAAAAAAAACGCCAAGCAGGGCAGTGGACCGTTCCTTTATATATATAAAAACTGATCTGGACTTGCTTTTAATTTGCTTTTTTTCCTCTTTAAACTGACGCACAACACAATGGAACAAGAATCGTTGCCTCCATTCCGCATTGTGTATTGGACACAGTGGTTTAACGGCTTCATGTTTGACGGTAAAAAAAAACTTAAAACAAAAAAAGAGCTTTATAAACATTAATGCCTTTTTGGCCCTCGCCTTGCAAAACAGAAAGTCACTAAACCAAATATATATTAACTCTTTTTTAACAGGCAACGATCAAGTATTGAGCAATGACGATTGTCCTATACCTGATGGCTACAGTCTCGATTCCCCTGAAAGCTGGTGCACGATTACACCTTCGACCGACAATGTTGACGCTGCAGCCGGCGTTTTATTTCATGCGGCCGACTATTTCTCTACTCAAGTCCCTGCACGTAAAGTATCCTTTCTTTCTCTCTGACCAAACAAGATGGTTAATTCTCATTATCTACATATTAGGGGTAAAATACCAACCATGGATATTGGAGACACAAGAATCGCCCCACACAGCAAAGTTTCGCATGGACGCAAAAGAAATGCGAAATTTCGACTACCTGGCCTCATACCATCTCCAAAGCGCATTTCTGTTCTCGTACTACTCTCCTGCCGTCATGGACGTCGCAACCCGGCCTCTGCCGATGGATTTCTTGACACACTTGAAGAAAAAGCACAAGGCGCCTATCGTTTGGATCGCGCGCAATTGTGGGGCTACGAGCGGACGCCACCACTATATCGAGCAATTGATGCAGTACATTGATGTGGATAGCTATGGTTCGTGTCTCAACAACGTAAAGTATCCCGAAGGCAAGGATCGGATGGAGTTGATGGGCGAGTACAAGTTTTATTTGGCCATTGAAAATGCCAATTGCGATGATTATGGTATATAAAGTCTCTTTCTTTTGTTTGTTTTTTTTTCTTAAAAGGTGAAAGCTGATTTCCTTTTTTTCTTATAAAAAGTAACCGAGAAATTATTTGACACCCTCCTGGTATCCACGGTCCCTATTGTCGACGGGCCCAATTCATACCAAGGCTTTCTGCCAGACAAAAATGCAGCCATCCGAATGGACGCCTTTCCCGATCCAAGGGAACTGGCAAAGTACATTGACTACCTCGACAAGAACGACACGGCGTACCTGGAACACATGGCATTTCGACGAGACGCACTGGATATCCCAGCGCGTGAGCGGCTGGATCCGACATTTATTGGCAACTGGAGCGATCCGTCCTTTCACAACATGCGGAGCAGCTGGTGTTCAGTGTGTCGTGGGATGTTGCCTTGGTGGCAAGCCCGACAACAACAACAACAACAGAATATAGAAACCATTGCACTGCAGCAATTACAACAACAACACAAAAAGGACACCTTGCTAGTAGACAAGAGTTGTATGGAAGGTGGCAAGTGGGATTATGCTCAAGAAGGACCGCCTTACTTGCCGGATTGGGAAAAGTCGCCTCATCCGTTGACGTTGTTGTTGAATGACGGAGGAGAAAAGCATCCCGCAACATCGCAACGGGAAGAGTTTATGGGTCGCGTACACAGTGATGCGTATACGGCACGAAAGGTCTGGGCAGTTGAGCTGGTTCTGGGCACCTTTTTTATGGCGTTTGTAGCATTTGTAGTCATTCGCGGTCGTCGGCGTCATCGTAGTAAGCAATTCAAGTCAGAGATACCCCTGTCTGTTAATTAAATGTTCTTTCTTTTCCCCCACATACACACACACACACACACACACACACATGCATTTGTACATACACTATAAACATTCTTTTTCAATCTTGTACTGGTTATATATATATATATATATATATATATATTCAGTGGGCGATCCGTGGTAGGCGGGTGATGTATGATGATGTACAACACGACTACTACTACTACTACTACTACGAACGCTATGGATATACTTTATAATAGCAAAACATTCTAGTTCTATAATAGTCCATGTTTAGTATGGACCGAACCATATAAATGACTGATTTATATTGACCCATCGAATATAACGAAACCCTTTAGTAGTGCTATTTCATGCTTATCATCAGAATACATGGTAATTGATTCCGCGTGTATAGGTATGCGCTCCAGTACAGGAATTTAAAGCTGCAACGACGCCAAAAGATGTCTCGGACTTTGCCGGGCCGACCTGACAGGGACCCTCTTATTTCTCCTTTATTTTCTTTTAACTGTTTTTTTTACACATATACAAAATGGCGACTCGCGTGCGACCCCTTGCACGTTCAGCGTGTATTGCCTTACAGCGACAACAACAACAGCAGCAAAGAATAATAGCACCCTCGACGAAACGATTAACGTGCGCCCTTCGAACGTTTCGCAGCACCCCTCAGCATCGTAAACAAGAACTACGCGGATACAATGACCGTGATCGATACCATGGGCAATACCCACGACGTACCCATTTGTGTGGTGATTTACGAGCCGACCATGAAGGACAGCAGGTTGTTTTGAATGGTTGGGTTCATTCACCCAGGTAAAGCAAAAAAAAAAATATATAGAACGGAGAATATATATGCCAAGTTCCATAGAAATAAGCTTATTGAAATTGCCAGGGGAACAATCATAGAGCCATGTCACAGGATTTGATATTCGTTCCATTGGGCGACGCTTCAGGCACTACACAACTTGTGTTTCGATCAGGCAATCCTGAACTACGCGCCGAGATCCAGCGGTTGACGCCAGAAAGTGTTATCTGTGCACAAGGGGTTGTTGTGAAACGACCGGATGGCATGATCAACAAGCAACAGAGCACCGGTGCAATTGAAGTCGAGTTGGAAAAGATCTATTGTTTGAATCCTGCGTCGGGCTCATTACCCTTTTGGCCATCTCAAACAGCAGCTACTCTTGTAAGTATATATGATTTGAATGAAGTGATCATGTGTGAAAAAATAGAGTTGATACATGTTTAACACACACCCCACCCGGGGCGCAACCAGCCCAATGAAGAAATCCGTCTACGATATCGATATTTAGATCTTCGACGGCCTGAACTGCAGAAGAATATCCGTCTTCGTTCCGTCGTTGTCAACACTGTTCGACAGTATTTGGTGGATCATGGTAAAAAGTGTCAGTTCGAGGAATTGACAGAGCGGGGGGTTAAACTGACAACATTTCCGTAGGATTTACCGAGATTGAAACACCCACCTTATTCAAATCAACCCCTGAAGGTGCCCGTGAATTCATTGTGCCAACGCGTAAACCCGGTGCCTTTTATGCTTTACCACAAAGTCCTCAACAGGTAAATCTCTTTTACCAAAAAAAAAGATAACGTTCTCCGTGCTACATATAAAATGTTCAATCTGTCTATAGCACAAGCAAATGTTGATGGCTGCAGGATTCGACCGATACTTTCAAATTGCACGGTGTTTCCGTGACGAAGATCTGCGCGCGGATCGTCAGCCCGAATTCACCCAAATTGATCTAGAAATGTCGTTTATTACGGCGCAAGAGCTTCAACACGTCGTTCAAGGATTCGTCACCGCAGTTTGGAAAAAAGCATTGGGTGTTGAATTAGATGCGTCTCACTTTCCCCACATGACGTATCAGGAGGCCATGTCGACGTATGGTTCGGATAAGCCGGATGTTCGTTTTGATATGAAGGTAAAAAAAGAATATGACTGTGGTGTATATGAGAGAGGAGACAATGGCAAGAGAGAGTAAAGCTAATGTTCTCATGATGGAACTGTTGTTAGATCAAAGAAATAAGTGGCTATTTGTCGGATGTTGTTGAAGAGGATGCTGCATTGGACTGTCTTGTGGTGAAGCAAGGATCGGCATTGACGGGTGGAGAATTGAAGAATATGCAAAAAGCATTAGAGCTTGCGGATGAAAAGGTTAGGAAACCATTGCTTTGTTACACACGTCTGAATACCAACGACGTCTCTCCCCTCCCCTTTGGTGTTGATAGGACTTTGCATTCGTCAAAATCAACGAAAACAATATAAATGCATGGCCATCCAAGTGTGGACGATTGAAGCATTCCAGTCGAATCGGCCAAGGAGAGACAACAGAAATGAACAGCAAGCTAGACATCCAAGTGGGTGATCTGGTCTTGGTGCATAAACGTGGACGCTACCTCTATGTAAGTTGTTTTTTTTCCCCAGACAGAAAAAAATGAAAAGGGCCATTCTCACAGGTATATCGATTAGGGAGGCAATACCTTGATGGGCCGTGTCCGTCTCCATCTAGCAAACATGCTGCAAGAAAAGGGCCTCTTGAACCTTGATCCCAACATGTTCAAGTTTCTTTGGATCGAGTCCTTTCCTTTGTTCTCCCCGGACGAACAAAGCATCCGTACATGGCAAGCAACACATCACCCTTTCACTGCCCCATTCGATCAAGATATTCCATTGCTTACCACCGAGCCCGCCAGAGTGCGTGGCCAGCACTATGATCTGGTGCTGAATGGCATGGAAATTGGGGGTGGTTCCATCCGTATCCATTCGCCTGTCATGCAACGTTTCATCTTTGATAATGTGCTTCAGGTAAAAAAGACATGCTCACCAAAAGATGAAAGCCCAAACTAATATATAAAGTGCGGTTATGTAGCTTGAAAAGCACGAGTACCAGCGATTCGACCATTTGTTGGATGCACTGAGTGCGGGATGTCCACCACACGGTGGTATTGCTCTTGGTAAAGTTTTAGCTTTATACTCAGCATTATTATTGGCAACATAATATTCACGTGTCATTGTTTGTTCTTGCATAGGATTTGACCGTCTCATGTCGATTTTATGTAACGCCTCTTCCATCCGTGATGTCATTGCATTCCCCAAGGCGGCAGCTGGAAAGGATTTGGTGGTCAATAGTCCATCCCAAGTGACGCCTGAGCAATTGACAGAATACTACTTGCAAGTCATCAAGAACAACGATGCGTGAACATAGAACCCTCCCTCTCTCTCTCGTTATACATAGAGTAACCCCACAACAAGACACACTGTATCATTGATTGAAATCTCCCTACACGTTTCCCCCCCCCCACCCCCGTGTCACCCATTTGAAGATACATGAAGCCTATCAAACCCGGGCGCACTTGCAAATACATAGATTGTGTTCCGACACGGTTTCCCTGATTTTTTTCAAGGAGCTTCTACCGAGTTCCCACAGAGCGGATATTTCATGCAGTCCCTTCTCGCTTTTTGTAAAAAGAAAAAACCCACTTTTTTCTCTCTCTATTTTTATAACGTATGGACACTTCTTTGTGTTCAACTGTATCAACAGAATGCATCATCAGTAGTAGTGGTGCTTCTGAAGCAGCAACAATAGCAGTTACCAACAGCGCGATCGCGTCTTCTTCGGTAGTACCTGCACTAGAAGCAGCAACAACAGCAGTTGCAAGTCGATCGCTCATTGCAACCATTGTGGGATTCCTCCCCAGACTGCTGTTCAGAATCATTAGCAAAGTGTCACTGTTCTTTTACCGCATCCTGACATGGTCATTCACAGTCCACCTCAATTTCTCTTCCCTGTTGACGATTCTTGTGGTGCTATGCATTGGCGCCTATTTAGTGATCCGATACCGATACCTGAACAAATACTCACGGTTGAAATCGACGGAGCCGGCCCAATCAACGTCGTCGTTTTTCGATCTGCACCCTGACGATGCCAGTGAAGACGAGTACTATTACGAAGGCATTGGAGGAAGAGGAGGCGCAGCACCACGCAAGGCGTTTAGAGGACCTGGTGGTATCGGAGCCGGACGGCCCTACTACAAGACATACCCAGACGAGTTCCTATCCGCCTTCTTGTCGTCCATCAAGATTTTCGGCTACTTGGAACAACACGTGTTTCATGAGCTGGCACGACACTTGCAGACCAAGAAGCTCCTGGCAGGTGACACTCTGTTTCGTCAACCCGAACAGGAGAAATCGTTTTACATTGTTGTGCATGGCCACGTGCAGTTGTTTGTCAAACCCGATGATGATCCGTATCAGACAATGGAAGGCTCGGATGAGGAGGAGGATGAAGAAGAGGGGCGCGACATGTTTGAAAATTATACATTGATCAATGAAGTCGGTGCTGGCGGTACGCTGTCGTCCTTGTTTACGATTCTGTCTGTGTTTCGCGAGAGCTTCATGCGGCAAGAATCGAAACGGCACAAGATCCAGCCGTCCTCGTCATCTAATACGGCAAACAATGAAGAGCTTGGTGGATGGCGATCTGTGTTTCCAAATTTGCAGGAAGCCTCAGGACCAGGCAACAGTAACAGAAGCTTGTCTTTGCAGCATCAACATCCACTGGCCTCGTCGGCTAAACGATCGGCGTCAAGTACTGATATCACGGCTTCGGATGATGACGATTTGATGTCTTCCTCTGCCAAGATGCTAGCATCGCCAGTAGCGGGGTCGCCATCATTGCCTGCTGCATTCAATACCAGTATCAACGCCAAACGTCGATACCGGTCCGTGCATCCAAATATTGTCGCACGTGCCACTGTGGATACAACACTTGCAGGTAAAAAAAATGACTGCAACAAAATAAAAACAAAACCTCACATCAAAGATTTTTTTTAGTAATCCCGGAGGAAGCGTTCCACAAACTGACACAAAAGTTCCCAAAGGCGGCGGCTCATATCGTCCAAGTCATTCTTACACGATTCCAACGCGTCACGCTGATGACGGGCCATCGCTATCTCGGGTTGACCAAGGAATTGTTGCGATTGGAGCGATTGGCAAGCGAGTCTGCGAGCATGGATGAGTTACCACAAGACTTGTTTGTTCCTGGTGGTATTGAACGATTACGACGCAAGTTTGCACATCAGCAAAACGACGATGCTCCGAGTGGACATGATGATGTGGAAGAGAGTCCAAGCAGTGGTATCATTCAGGCTATGGATATCCCCTCAACACCGTCCTTGGGTAGCAAAGGAGGAGACAGTAGTTCTGCTGTTGGGTCGCCGCTTCATCACCAGCAGATGATGGGAGCAACATCGCCATCCAATACACCTTATCACCATCATCACCACCATCATCATCATCATCATCAAGAAGAATACAGTGTCAAGGACGACGAACATTTAAGAGCATCCGTTCGACGATGCTTTGCTGAATGTTTGGGCATCTCGGCACAAGTGGAGCCTCCATCGCTACAGAACTCGACATCGTCACCCATGTCTTCCTCATCCAAACGTCAACATCATCATCATCATCATCCACAGCAAACAGATGCGCTGAAATCCTCATCACGGTACTACTATCCGATGGATCTGTTCTCGCCTGCAGGCACAGCAGACACAAGTGCATCGCCTTCGCTTGGTGCGCTCAGCGTACCGTATGACGACGACATTGACAATGTGTCGACGGTCTCATCCTCAGCCGTTTCCGCGACCGGTGGCCAATACGGTGAAGGCGAAGCATTATCGGCGAATGATGTCCAGATTCTGTTTTTCCCGCAAGATGCCGTTCTCTTGAAAGAAGACGAGCACAATAACGGACTCTTTTTCGTCATTGATGGCGTACTGGATGTGTCCATGACACCTGCTGCCACCGAAGATTTGTCTTTGGAACGCCCTACTCAGCCCTACGGTGTTTCTTCGCCCACGTCCGTGCCCAAGAAAAAAAAGAACAAGAAAAAAAAGCAACAGAAGACGCGGTTTAGTCTGTCTCCCATTCCGTCACCCACCTTGTCACCATCGACTTCATCCGATGATTTCAGTGGAGACCATGAGCAGCAACAGCAGCAACAGAAGTCACAGCTGGCGAATGTTGCACCTGCACTGGAAGGAACGTCGATTGTGGATAAGCATGGACCTGTGATGGCATCGCGAGTACCAGCGGGTCGTGCACCGCCTCATGCAGATGCAGAGACGTACCAGGAACGCAAAGCCCAGCGACCGTTGTTCACCATCAAGCCAGGTGGCATTGCGGGTTATCTGGAGGCGTTGACGGGTCATCCCAGCTTTGTTGAGATCCGGGCCAAGACAGATACCTATGTTGGCTACTTGTCACGCAAGAGTTTGGATCGTATCATTGACAAACATCCAACGGTGATGCTGAAATTGGCACAACGCTTGGTGACGCTCTTGAGTCCATTGGGTAAGCCCTTCCCTTGGCCTTTGTATTTCTTTTGTATAGAAAGACACACACAGAGAGGGACAAATAGCTAATATTTGAATTTGATTAAGTGCTACATATTGATCTGGCGTTGGATTGGATGCAAGTAAATTCTGGCCAAGTGATCTGTCACGAAGGACAACCGAGCGATTCGATCTACATGGTGCTACACGGACGTCTGCGCACGATCCACGGCGAAAAGGGTGATGGTGGCATTGAGATCTTGGGCGAATTTGGTCGAGGCGACTGTGTGTGTGAGTTGGAAGCATTGGCCGGTATTCCTGCACCTGCGACACTTCATGCTATCCGAGACAGTGAATTGGCGCGTTTACCGAAAACCTTGTTCAACGCACTAGCACGACGACACCCAGAGATCACTTTGCAGATATCGCGCATGGTAGCTATCCGATCGTTGCAAATGACGCGTGTTGGCGGTGGCAATGGCGGCGCTGCTTCTAGCATCAAATCATCCTCTTTACCGCAAAAATCACAAGCGACACTAGCGACTTTGTCTGGAAGTGCTGCTGCTGCTGCTCCTGATCAAGCACCCGAGTTGTACGGCCGGAACAATGCGAATTTAAAGACCGTTGGCATCATCCCAGTGAATGCGTCTGTGCCAGTGACGGAATTCGCTGAAAACCTGAAAAGTGCACTGATGCAAGCGGTCGGTGCAACATGTGTGCTGCTGAACAGTGCTACGATCACGTCTGTCATGGGCAAGCATGCGTTTTCGCAGCTGGGTAAATTGAAACTGGCGTCCTGGTTGGCAGAACAAGAAGAAAAATACCGCATTGTGCTGTATTTGGCCGACAGTGGCGTCAAAACGCAATGGACACGGACGTGTATCCGACAAGCCGATTCGATCTTGTTGGTAGGCCTGGGCGATGGGGATCCTGCCGTAGGTGATTACGAACGCTTCTTGATCAACATGAAGACGACAGCAAGAAAGGAGTTGGTCTTGTTGCATGGCGAGCGATTTTGTGCAACAGGCACAACGCAGAATTGGCTGAAGGTGAAAATTAAAAAAAAAAAAAACCTCATTTTGGCATGTGAAGAAGAGAAAATTCATTCTATTATGTGTAGAATCGATTATGGATCCAAGCACACCACCATATCTTCATGCCTATGCGCAAGCACGCGACATTGTCCAATGAGCGAGGTGGCAGTGCTCGTCCGCCATGGCTGGCACAAACGGGACGCAAGATGACCGAGAATTCGATCAACATGATGCGAAACGTCAAGGGGCAGCTGGAAAAATACTATCCCACATTTGGCCGATTATTGGTTGTTAAAAAGAACACAGCCACACAATTCGGCAGCGCCAGTAATGCTGCACGCGATGACTTTGCTAGGTACTTTCTCTCTTTCGCTGATCTAGAACGGGCGCTTATGAAACAAACGATTATTATAGACTAGCGCGTCGGCTTTGCGGCAAATCGGTAGCATTGGTGCTTGGCGGAGGCGGAGCACGTGGCATTACGCACATTGGCATGATCCAAGCACTGGAAGAAGCCAACATCCCGATCGACATTATCGGTGGTACGAGTATTGGTAGTTTTGTGGGAGGATTGTATGCCAAGAACCGAGACCTGGTGTCGACGATAGCTCGAAGCAAGATGTTTTCATCGCGAACAACGAGTCTGTGGCGCAACCTGATGGATCTGACCTACCCTGTCACGGCCTGGTTCACGGGACATTCGTTCAACCGGTCGATTTTCAAGTGTCTTGGCGACTCACAAATCGAGGACTTTTGGCTGCCATACTTTGCAGTGACGACCAACATCACCTGGTCACGGATGGAGGTGCACACGACCGGCTATGCTTGGCGATACATTCGTGCATCCATGTCATTGTCGGGCTACATGCCGCCGATCTGCAATGAGAACGGCCATATGCTGGTAGATGGCGGGTACATGGACAATTTGCCAGTGTCGGTGGCCAAGAGCATGGGTGCCGATATCATTATTGCGGTGGATGTGGCATCCGAAGACGACACGAGTCCTGTGCGGTATGGCGATTCGATCAGTGGATGGTGGGCGCTCCTGTATAACCTGAATCCGTTCAGGTCATACACGATCCCGAGCATTGCAGAGATCCAGTCTCGACTGGCGTATGTGAGCAGCGTGTCCAAGCTGGAAGAAGCCAAGGTGACGGATGGTGTGCTGTACGTCAAACTGCCAGTGCAGAATTGGGGCACGCTGGAGTTCAACAAGTTTCCGGATATCATGCAGCTTGGTTACGATGCAGGCAAACAGGTGGTTGGGGCCTGGCGGAAGGCGGGGTATGCGTCGGGTCGGCTGTTGCAAGAACAACAGGACGCTGTTGTGCAGCAGCAAGGCAAGGAGGTCAAGGGGACGCGCGGACGACGCAACAGTATCTAAAGTCTAAAATGGAGGAATCATGTACATATTAAATATATATAATCCACTTAATACTACTACTTCAATTACTACTACTAGCTTCTACATTACGTTTCAGACATAGTAGCTACTTTTTCGCTATTGCATATTGTACTCCGTGGTGTGTGTGTGTGTGTGTGTGTCGCGCGCAGAAAAGAAGGTTGTGTAATACCACACGCAAAAAAATAAAAATAAAAACAATTTCCTCATTTTAAATTTTTCCAGTTCCGCAAACACAAAATAATACTCTTTTTGTGTGGGCCTTTTCCTTCTCTTCGTTTCTTTCCCTTCCTCCTTTCCTTTCTTCTTGGGTTTACTACTGCCCTCTCAACACCTTTCGTCGGCTTCTGTACATACAACACACATCATCTTTTTTGAACGTATATGGTTTCATTCAATCGACTGACTGAGAACCTGTTCCTGCTCACCACCGGCATCCTCTCCTTGGTAAATTTTTACTATAAGCCCTGACGACCGTTTTTTCTTGTGTATATACTGTTATAACAACAGAATATCCGAGAGAATAGAAAGCATTCACGTCACACATCTTATTTCTCTCTCTCTCTCTCTCTCTGTTTTATTGTAGTGCGCGTGGGTGATTGCATTCGGTGGGCTTTGCGCCTTTCGGCAGCTGAGCGGTGGAGGCTACTGGCTCATTGTTTACGAACTACTGTTAATTCTTGGCACCCTCTTTGTTTTCATGTCCGGCACTTTTCTGCACTACAGAATGGTCGTAAGTAGTACACATCATCATTTGCTGCTACTGTACAAGACACACACACACACACCACGGCCATCCATACAATCGTTCTTGATCAATCAATCATCACATACAATTACAGTGTGTAACGATGTTGCTGGTAACACAAAACGAACGACGCACGCACATTTCGATTATTTGATTGATTGGTGGGGCGGCCGTGTGTGTGTCTGACAAGCTTGGCACTGTTCTTAACTTGTAGACATGAAAAACTCACCAACTGGATTGATCATACATGGTAGTTGCTAACGTTCCTGGCCGTCAGTATTGCCATGTTGATGGGACAAATTGACGCAGTCCTGCCGGTTAGCAGATTCGGGTACGACGCAAACCAAGATGGCGCAGGTGCATATGCTGCAGGCTACATTTTTATTGTCATTATCCAGTTCCTGTGGGTGTTTGTGTTTGGCAGCGAACCGCATAGCTATTTGGGCCAATTCGGTCATGGATGGAGCGCCATGAACAACAGTGTCGATAATCATCACCAACACCCGGGTATGAAGGCTGCTGCTGCTAATCCTCCCGCTGTCATGGGCGCTGGCCAGGTTCAATCGACGCATCAACAACAAGTACCTCAATACGAAATGACGACCGATAAAACCATGGTACCACCCGGTGGGTTCAATAGTCCTCAATCTGCATATGAGATGCAAGCACACCCAGCTGCGTCATCACCCCAGCAGCAGCAACAACAACAACAACCGCTTCAGTCGCCTTCGTCTCCACAGCAAGAACCGCCTGCCGAGTACAAGGAACGCGTTGAAGCTCTTCACGATTGTAAGCTTTTTCAAGATATCACACGTCTCTATAAGCAAAAAGAGAGAGAGAAAGAGAGGGATGGACTTAACAAGGAGATATCTTTGTTTTTTTTTTGTTGTGATGTTATTAAGATTCTGCAAGCACGGATGATCCAAGCGAGTTGAGTTTCCGCAAGGGTGAGATTCTAGAAGTGGTTGAACGGAAAGGAAACTGGTGGCAAGCACGCAAAGCCGATGGAAGCATGGGCATTATTCCCAGCAACTACGTAAGTTTTTTCTTCATTTTCTATTACTGCTAGCTCCTATCCACCTACTAGATCCGAAGGTGGTGGGGGGAGGGAGGGAGGTTGCCAAGGGGCATTATCATACAACAAAAAAGCTTAACTTTACCTCCTACAACTATTACAGTTTGCTTAAATTACTTTTTATATTAAACCGTGACGACGACGACGACGAATTACAAACCACATTACAAGACACAAATTGCATACATATCAATCCGCTCTCTCTCTCTCTCTTTTTCTCGCTCTCTTATAATATATATGTTATATCTAACTAACTCTTCTCTGCTCTGCACTTGCTGTATCCACTATACTCTTTATTATGTATTATCCCGTTTTCCAACTCCAAAACCTTAATTAAATAATAATAAATCGGACGTGTGCTGGGGAACCAGCGGAGCTCTTCGTGGCGGGCTGGCTGCTCCTCACAGACACACCCACACCCACACACACATACACACACACACACACTCTCTCTCTCTCTTTCCGTCTCTTCGCTCGTGTATACACACACACCTTGTTTCTTTCCTTGTCATACGTAACAGATAGACTGGTGGCATGTCAAAAAATAGAAAGCGCAACACATGGGCATCAAGTGTATCCGATCAGGTCTTACTTTCCACACCAATCCATGAACAAAGTCGTCAAGAAGCTGTGTATGCCCTGATCCATAACGAGCGTCACTATCGCAACGAACTTGACACTCTTTATACGGTAACCTTCTTTTTTAGAGAACCCCTTTTTTCTTTCAACTGTGTTTACCCCCATGCAAGGTGTCGACTCAGGAACATCAAGTACTTAGTGAAAAAAGCCAATGTAGTAGCGCCTTGTTCAACCACTGTATGAATTCGACCGGGTCGATCCACAAGAACGTGCAACCTTCATCCAGTCCGTGTTCCAAAACCTTAAAGATCTCAAACAAGCCAATCAAAAACTTGTCCATGCATTAAGCGACCGGCAAAAAGAGTTCGAATCGCTGATCCCCACTGTGAGCGATGTGTTTTCCGCCCACTTTCTACCCATCTTGGACGATTACCAAGTATACTGCAGCAATTTGCCCCGTGCCACCTATCTATTAACGACCCACCCGACATTTCCTCCGCACCTTACACAACAAGAATGGCCATTGTTGAAGACACCGCTGCAGCATCTGGAACGGTACCCGACCCTACTGAAACGCGTGATTGTAACCACGACGGACGATCATCCTGACCATGAAGTCTTGTCACTGTGTCTGGATGCCATTCAACTGTGTCTGGAGAATCTCAACCAACAGCTGGAGACGAAAAAGGAGCTTTTGGAGATTGAAAAGTGGGTCGGCAATGCTTGGCGGTTGGATGCGCCAGAGAGACGTATCATGTATCGATGCAAGGCACAAAGTGTTGTTGTGTCGTCAACGGCAACATCAAGTAGTAGTAGTAGTAGTCAACAACAACAACAGCAGCAGCAATTGGGTGATATCATCGTGTTGGATCATGTGGTGCTGGTCTTATTGCCACCCGTCTTGTTTATTCCACTTCCTATTGTTGTTTACATCGTTCCATCGCATCATCATGATACAACGACACCAGCGATAGTAACGCTAGCGCATCCACCGCGTGGGATCACTTACCGAGTCCAGTTAGATGCACCACAAAAACTGGTTGAAGCCATTGCTGATGCACAAAAGGAACTGAAGCAAAAGCAACCGCACTTGTTGTCTGATCCGCCACTCGTATCGTCAACCATCGAGTCATGGACTGCTGCTGTTCGATTGCCAGACGGACGGTTAGCTGTCGGATCACATCATGGCGTCACCCTGTACCCATCACGTGAACGTATCATCGAAATCGATTGCTCCAAACTAGCAATTCTTGCAAAGAACCACCACGACCACGATAGCGGACCATTTCTTGTTGTTGCCAGCCACCGTCGCCAACTCCTTTTGATATACAAACTCAACGAAACGAATAACCGCATGATGCGGGACCAGCAGCCGTGGATGATTGAAAATGTCTTGGACGGGTTCCATGTCATTGATCAATACATTGTCTATCAAGACCGGGCGGATATGCTTGTGCATTTGTGGAATCCGAGGAAACGGCGTTCTGTCAAGACCATGGATGTCCAGTCTGTACGAGTATCTGGATTTTCTAGTTTTATTGAACAGGAACGACATTGGCTGGTGATGGCATGTGACGCGGATTTTGTGCTGGTGGATATTTCGGGCCAAGCCATGCGTAGGCGGATTTCTCTAAAGGACAGTGGTGGCGTCAACGGCGGCAGCAAGGCACTCTCTTTGGCAGTCAATGGCGAGCGACTGTGCTATAATCGGTGTGTGTATGACCCCGGTCATGGTGGTGGTATGGATCGTCATCAGACAATGTCCTTTGTGTGCGAATGGGAGATAAGGCCCAAACATGTGGTCTATGCACACCCTTATCTATTGGCATTTGATCAAAAGCAGTGTGTAGAGATTCGGCATGCTGAAACGGTAAAGATTTTCTTGCCTCAGTCTGCCAACATGTATTATTCCGAGTGGTTGGTTAGAAAAACAAACTAACGCAAGAACATCCATGCATGTTTCGATATTATTTAGGGCGCTCTGGTGCATTTGTTGTATGAAGAAAGATGCAAATTAGTGGGTTCTTGCAACGGCAGTAGTAGTAATGGTAGTTCTGAAGAGGAGATCTTTCTGTATATTTATAACGACAAGCGACATCATCTTGTCACATTTGTAAAAAGTCATATACCATCATCATCATCATCATCATCATAGAATTGTTGAATAAATAAAAAAAGAGAAACAGACCAATATATTTATACTTTGACAACGGAAAAAAATAAAAGGGGGGAAATCATCTAGAAAACAAAGATTCTGTGTGTTTAAATGAGAGGTGTGTGTGTATATATATAGTATGTAGAATGCCTTTTTGTTTTTGTTTTTTACGGTGAGATACAAGAAGCGAAAGTAGAGAAAAACGAAACGCAAGAACGTGGCGGAACAAGAGACGGACGGGTTGAGTATGAGGGGGAGGATGGCGCGTCTTTAATATAAAGTAGGATGGATGAAGGGGCAGGGGGATAATATTAAATTTGAGAATATCTAAAAGGATTTTTTGGATAGTCGAAGCGACAGTTTCTGTACAATATCAAGGGCGTTCAGGACTTCCACGGTGCCCTGGAGGAACGAGGTTTCGTGGTAGTTGACGCCATACTTTTTGCAAATCGATCTGACCATAGGACGGACCTTGGCGAGGTTGTGACGGGGCATGGAGGGGAAGACCTGATTTTTGAGATAATGTTAGCCATCTCGTCTTTCCGCGACAACACTATTCCATGGCTCTGTTGGATAAAACTTACATGGTGTTCGATCTGATAGTTCAGACCACCCATAAACCAGTCGCCCAAAGCACCCAGGATGACATCACGACCCGTGACCACCTGGATTTCATAAAACTCCATTGTCTCGGCCTTTTCCTGGCTAATGACCGGCATGCCATTGTGGTTCAGGGCAAACACGATGGCCAACAGATAACCTGTGGCGGTCTGGCTGACAAAGAAGAATAGGAGCATGTTTCTGATCGTACCGATCCAAAGAACGGCAGCGCCGGTAAAGAGGGCCCAATGGGCAAACAAACAGGCACGTTCAAAAAAGCACAGCTTTTTAGACTTGTTCAAGGCGCCTTCGTTAAGCATGTACAAAACGGATTGAATGGCCCAAGAAAAGCGAGCGAAAGCGAGGACGAAGAAAAAGTAGCGGGTTTGGTAAGGCAAGACGCTTTCAGCCATGAATCGGGAAAAGGCGTCGTCCTGCAAAGATCCGTAATAGTTGGCAGAGGCAATTTCGTCCCACAACAGAACCGGGGCTGTGTCGATATCGGGATCGTGACCGCTGACGTTGGTCGATGCATGGTGGGTGTTGTGCTTGTTCTTCCACCACGACAAGGAAAAGCCTTGGCAGAAATCGCCCAAAAAGACTACCACAATATCGTTGAGCGTTCGATCCTTGAAGCACTGGTGATGGCCGAAATCGTGAGCGAGCCAGCCACACTGCTGCCAGAACAGACCGACTAAAAAGCCAGCGCCGAGGACGGCCAATGTCGACGTTTTGCCCCACAAGTACAGCATGACGAATGCCGTGGCGCATAAACCGAGGGTCGATACGACCTTGTAGAGGTAAAACAGATGGCTCGAGTTGAAATAGCCTTCGCCTTCAAGCTTGTCGCGGAGTTCTCGCATCTCGGTGGCAAACTCGCTGTTTTGGAGCTGTGATGGTGCAGGTTCAATGTCTCCGGCGTAGCAGTTGGCAAGAGTTTCGTAGGCTGATTCGGGATGCATAGCGTGAAAAACATCTATTTGAATTCACATTGTCGTTTGTCAGATAAAGAGTGGATCGATTAGATCAGGACGTAATATTTTTTAATGAGCGGTGAGATGCCTTTTTTAGTCGAATAGTAACAGTTTGGGGTACTGGGGATATTACACATAGTACGACGGCGAAAGAAAGGGTAAGAGAAAGGGGAAAAAAATAATAATTTACCCGAAGCATCCTTGCCAACATGCGTCAACAAGACATCCGCACCGCCAGGGTGGTCTTCGACAAATTCAGTGACATCGTATACTTTATTGTCAATGATGATATACTGTCGAGCGTCGGGTTTGCCGTCCTTTGCGTCCTGCGTAAGTACGGCAAACTCTTGTCTGGTGTACACATACGCCTCTGAGTTCAATACATGGAGAAAAGAAAAAAGCAACGGTGTCGTTTTGTGTTAGCTTCTCTTTTTTGTGGCAAAGGTTGTTCTTCATCCTTTGTAGTTTTGCGTTTCCCCATCTGGAAATTGAGGCATTTACCAGTTGAAGCCATGATGAGAAGAAAGGGAAGGGGGGGGAAAAGGAAAAGAAGAGAGAGAGAGAGAGAGAGAGAAAGAGGACGGAAAGTGAAAGTAGAAAAAAAGGAACCCAATAGGCCGTTAGTATGTGGAACAGTTACTCAGGGCGAGCTTTTTTAAACTAATTGATATAAAAGCCACCATAACCGTGGGTGGTTTTGGATTGGGGATCTCCTCTCCAAAAAATTTCACATGGCGGATCAAAGAAAGCTGCAGTCGTCAATCATCCCACTATTTTTTCATAGGGTCGCACAAGGTCGTTTCGGGATCACCGTGAACTCTGGTGGGGGGCATGGTTGTACTTGCGAGCTCCACGGTATTGCGCAGTAGAGTAAGGGATGGCTCCCTTTTCGGATCAATTCGAGATATTTTTTATCTCGTTAACTGGTGCCTGATTGGCTGCTGTTTCCGGATTGCTATGAAACATAAATAATTGCCATGACAACAAATGTCTATGGTACAGAAAATCAGCACCTACCCCCACAAAAAGTGACATGCCAAACGGATGGATTTTATGCGTTTGCGCATCATATACATATTTTTTGTTTTTAGGCATCACTCCTCCGTTGGTGGAGTGCTTGCGCTAGGAAAAAAGTGATTTAAAAGCTGCGTGGAGCGTTTGTTGAAATCTATATTTGGAACACTGCTCGCATGAGAGGGGGGGAAAAGTTCATTTAAGCAAGCCGACAGGCAAACAGGCATAGATCCAGAGTTGATGATAATGGCTTTCAGCAATGGAGATAACAAAAAGAAGTGGGTGTATCTTGCTTTTTTGCAACTGAGTGCATTGTACGCGCAGCACACCAAACAGAGGGCAAACAAATTCGGACTCGCCCCCAAAACAGGAATAAGGTAAGGCTCTCTCTCTCTCTCTCTCTCTCTTTCACATTATAATCTGTCTCTTTTCTTCTTTCTCTTGATTTTTCCATTCTTCTTAGTTTACTACTATTATTACTGCTACCTAATATACCGTCAGCAGCAACAAGTATACCACACTCTCTCCCAAGTTTACTGTTACTACTACTACAACAACAACAACAACAACAACCTATCAATTTACTATACTATTCACCGTTCCAACTAATTGTTCCACGACAAAGATGCCGGACCTGATGAAACGATTCGCTTCATTGTTCAAAAAGAAGCAGCAAGAAGATATACCAGCACGATTACCTTCGAGTTTGACACGAATCTACAAGGTTTCCAACCGTACCTTGGGAGTTGGCTCTTTTGCCGTTGTCAAGCTTTGCACGCATAAAAAGACAGGCCAAACGTTCGCTTTGAAAATTGTCATGAAAAAGGCTATTGCAGGTAACACATATCTCTTCATCTCTCCTTTGGAAAAAGTAGCGTGTGGAGTGGGTTGGTGGTGTCTTTTTTTCCATGCATATACAAAAGTTATTAATCAAAAAAAAGCAAGGCAAGGAGCATATGCTTGAGAATGAATTAGGTAAGTCCTCTCCGCGCTTTTCTTCCGCGTTTCCGATGGGAGATGATAGATAGACAGCAGGGTGGGAACTCTTTCAAATTTTTGAACATTTAGACGTCTTGAAGCAAGTTCGACATCCACACATTATATCAATGCATGGACTATTCGAAGACGCGCATGCTGTATATATCGTAGCCGACCACGCCAAAGGTGGCGAATTGTTTCAACAGCTATTACGCAAAGGATCGTATACCGAGCGAGACGCCTCGAATCTGGTGCGACAAATATTAGAAGGATTGGCTTACCTCCATGAGCACGATGTAAGTGGTTCCTATATAAATTGCCAAAAATAATAGCCAAACGCCACAAACAAGTAAATGTATCCCAAGTCTAATATATTTTTTTTGTGATGCGTTATTGGTAGATAGTACATCGCGACATTAAGCCGGAAAACGCAAGTATAAAAGTCGAAGAAATAGGCACATGTGATGGATTTCCCGTTTTCGTGCACACTCATACTATGCTACTATTCATAACAGCTCCTGTTTCAGACAACTGAAAGTGAAGATAAATTGATGATCACAGACTTTGGCTTGTCAAGGATCATTAAAGACCATGACGGTATCTTGATGACGGCATGTGGTACACCGGGCTATGTAGCTCCAGAAATCCTTTTGCGCACTGGCCATGGTACACCTGTGGATATATGGAGTGTTGGCGTGATTACAGTAAGCTCTTTTATCGATTACGGTTATCACATCACCTATAATACTGAAAACGCCCTTTTCCCCCCACTTTAGTATACCTTACTTAGCGGATACACGCCATTCTGGGGAGCTGATGAGGCCACCTTGTTTGATAGCATTATTCGAGGACACTATGAATTCGATGAAGAATATTGGAGCGATATTTCTGCATCAGGTATCACCTTTTTGTCTCTGTATTCTAAACGCTTTTGTGGTGAAAATGAATTATTGATGGTGGTTTGGGGGGTTGGGGCGCGGGAAAACGATGGCTACTCGTATTCAATACCAATTTAAAAAACTTCTCCATGTTTTTATATTTTACTAATTGATGCGGACGATCGGCTTATATAGCTAAGCATCTAATAGATTGCATGTTGCAACTAGATCCGGAGAAGCGGATTACAGCGACCGAAGCATTAGAGCATCCATGGATTTCGCAAGGCCGTGCTAGTGCTACAGATCTGATTGCAAACGTACGGAAAGGATTCACAAGTCGGCAATCGTTTAGATCATTCACAACAGCCGTCTCGCAAAACAGTAAATGAATTAAAAAAGTCAAGCATCTTTTTGCTCTAAACCAATAATACATAATGTAAATGTACAAACAAATATGTATGTAAACATAAAAAATAGTCCTTATTTTCTGCATCAACTAAACGGAGCCAATGCGGAAAACCGCGGGTGAGCGCGGAATATTACCCCGGTTCCGAGCCAGATCATGAGGGTTGCATGGTTTGTATTTGATAGCGTTAAGGAAAGGTCTGATTTCAACCCTATTATGTAATTAAAGTCATAGTGGCATTTGGGATATGTATCTTGTGCTAGTTTCTTTTCGACAATTGAAATGTAGCATTACGAGTCAGCTTGATACTGGGGACGTACAAACTACGGATACAAACTAAAAAGGGGTATTACTAGGGACACTCCAAAAAAGAGTGAGTCGACACTCTTTTTTCCCTCAAATAAACCAAATAGTTGCACAAAAATAAACAGTTGCTCTATGAATATATCGCTTGATGGACCTTCCGATGTTGGAGTGCTGGATGTAGACAATTGAGTTGATATTTATCGATTTTATCATGGATATGTATATGAAATGTTAATATTGATATGGTAATGATATGTGAAAGCGTCACACAGATGCATAAGAAACTATTTAAAAAAAATTGTTTCTTTCTAAACATTTTCCTCAATATTGACCTTTTTGATGTCCAAACATCTCCAAACTTTTTTGCGCAATCATGCGTGTGACCCATCTTTTCACAAGCTGTTACAACCGATCGTTCGATAAAAGACCATTGCAGTTTTCATTTCTAATGTCGCCCAATGACATCCTGAAACGAACTGCATGATAAGAGGCAACGGTCGAGCATTCGTTCCTGGTCCTTCAAAACAACAATGGCGCCGTACAGTACGTTCCATTTTCGTTTTTGTCATCTCTGTCCGGATACACAGCAATAGGTCGTCTGTATGTATCAACAGCAAGTTGGGCACAACGAGGAGTGTAGAACCAATGCTTGCTGGGGCACCTTGAAGATTTGTCTTCAGTGTTGCGTGTATAGTCAAGGCCAAAAGCGATCGTCTCCTCGAGGCGAGCAAGGTCATACATGCTGATGAAATACTTTGAATATATGTCCTTGTTTTTTTGTGCAGGCTCTCTAACATTTCCCTTTTGACCGTCATGAATTGTTCTTGGTCTCCTTTATTAACGCAATGCGCGATGGTGCGGAAGCCACACCAGCCGTCAGAAGCAATATTAACTGTCCCATGAATGCAATCCCTCGGAATATCTGGGTGAACTAAAAAGGAGAAAGACTCTGGTTTAGGGTCGGTACGAATCCTATATGTACAATTATATATACATTTATTAATATAAAATGGGAATAGTACATATGACGAAGAATTGTTCTGAATACAAAAAGACTGACCTTTTACGAGCACGTTCCAAATACAAAGTTTCTAGATCCCTTTTCGATGTTGAAAGGACATAGTCGTCGTGTTGTACTTCGCTGGTTTGAAGGGCCTTTTTAGGCTTATCGTCACCAACAGCAATAAGCAGCTCTTCTTTCTTTTCGATCTCAAAAGAAGATGGGATCCTTTTGTCCTTCGTATTCTTGGGCCTTCCTTTCGTAGCAACTGGCTCAGGTAACGTGACTTCAGTGAGATCAACAGTCTCAACGTCTTCCTCAAGGATCTCCTCAAAACAGGATAAGAGATTGACTTTCTCTTGTTCGGTTTCAAGGGAAATGATTTTGTTCTTTAAGTTTGTAACGAGCTTCTCCATCTGGTGATCAACTAATACCGCTGGGTCTTTAATTTCAAAGAGAGCTATATACAGTAATACACAGGAAGCACATTCTATATGAGAAGGTATCGACAACATGCTATTGCTAGTAGATGAAGCTGTATAATAGTACATACCTGAATCATACTGTAGAAGCCAACGTTTAGGAATCTCATTCAAATCAACAGCAGGACCGTTTAGGTTGATCATATGCTGGCATGGTAAACCAAAATTGATTCTACTCGTGCAAATACAATCCAACGTGTCGCAATTGATTTGGTTGCCTACGTTTTTCCACGCACGGTCAAGCTCCTTTCGAATTCGGTTCAAAGCAAAGAAACTGATATGGCCGAAAAGGTTTCCCAAAGCTGCACTCTCACGCTTTGTGAAAAGTGGAGTGTTGCGAAGCTCGTGTATGAAGTCCATCTTTTCTGTTTCAAACTTTTAGCTTATTTACATGTCGCTACATCAATATTAAATAGCAAACACCGGAGATGAGTGAGAGTATAGAATGCTACTTATTGTCTTCTTCATGACTCCGTTAATAGCTTTAAACGTGCGATAGAGGCTGCCCGTCGTTTGCATAGTATCTTTGATGATCCAATGAGTCCCTTCTGTTCGTGATGTGGTTTGCACATTAAGGTTGAGCTGCTTTCCAGCCTGCGGTGCAGCCCATTTGTCCTTGTAGGTCAGCACACTAGATAAAAAAAAATCGCAAGGGTACAGTGAGTTAACTAAATCACCCTTGTCACATACTGAATCTACATAATTTCAAGCAAACTGTTACAAAGTAAGAGCATCCCTAATCCAGCTGCAAAATTAAGATCCGAAATGAAAAATAATTTACCGCCATGAGTGGCTTCTTTGATTTTGAAATCGGTATTTTCGGTATTACTGCCTTTCTTCTGTTCCTATCTTTTATGTCTACAGCATCCGAACTTTTTGATCTTCTCCTCGAAGAGGAAGAAGATAGTGCTATCATTGGAACCCGCAGACGAAAGCGCCTTTTTCAAATGCTTGCCAAAAAGCATAGAGAAACACCAACCCGTAAAAAAGGGTCTGATGTTCCTGGGCGCAAAACAAAGGAACGCGACCGTGTTGCTGGCGCAGATCGTCTATGCAAGGACTACTTTGCTGAAGATTCCGTTTATGACGATAAAGACTTTTGGCGCGTCTACCGTATGGAACGTGATCTCTTTTCACGTATAGTAGAAGGCGTAAAACAGCATGACAATTCCTTCAAACAAAAGTATGATGCTGCGTTAAAACCGGGCCATTCGACGTTGCAAAAAGTATCTGCTGCGATAAGACAACTTGCTTTCGGAGGCAGTGCCAAGGTAGTCGACGAATATCTTCGGACGGGTGAAAGCACTGCCTTAGAGTGTTTATAGCGTTTTTGCTCGGCAGTAATCAAGACTTTTGGCGACGAATATCTTCGTGCGCCCAATGCAGAAGATATCAAGAGGCTGCTGGCTTTTGCTGAAAAGCGCTACTTTCCGGGCATGCTTGGGTCTCTTCATTGCATGCATGTCGAATGGAAGAATCGTCCTACTGCTTGGAGGGGCCAGTCTTGAGGCAGTGGCATCCTGTGACTTATGGATCTGGCACGCATTCTTTGGGCTCCCTGGTTCCCTCAACGACATCAATGTGCTAAATCGTTCACATGTGTTTGCTGATCTTGCTGCTGGTCGTACACCACCCGTCGAGTTTACTATTGGTGACCATGTGTATAACAAAGGATACTATCTCGCTGATGGAATTTATCCAAAATGGGCGACTTTGATACAATCGATTCCTGGCGAACCTATAGCACCCAAGAACAGGTACTGAAATATGACTGCGTTATGTTCTTATTAAAACCTATTTCCTATGTAGTTAATCAAAAGAAAGCAAGAAGCATATCGCAAGGATGTCGAGCGTGCTTTTGGCACATTGTAGTCACGCTTCGGTATAATCCAAAACGACCTGTAAGATTATGGAAGCGTGAAGATATGCATAATGTCATGACTTCGTGTATTATCCTGCATAATATGATCGTGGAGGATGAGCATGCTAGGTACAAGTTACCATTGCAGATTGATACGGATAATAGCCGATTCGAATACCACGACCCAACTACACCGCAGATCAATCGCGATCAACAAACGTTAGAAGAGTTCATCCAACGACGTGTAGACATTAGAGATCTAGTCAAGTTTACGCACAGTTGAAAAAAGATTTGATCGATCATCTATAGAGCCGTCATGAAGAGAGCTCAGAATAAACTTTGAACGTTTAATTATTATCGCTTACATGTACGTCATTCTCATCTTCTCTACTTTCTTCCTCTTCTTCTCCTTCTGCTTCATCTTCTACACACTTTTTTTCTACGACAGCTGCGGCGTCCAGTCCAGCCACACTGCCTTGTTCAGCAGCTTTTTATTCCTCCTTCAAAGCCTTGAGGATTCTTTTCTTCAAGATACGGAAGTATTCCGCTGTGTCCTCGTCCATATCACTTATGTTCGTGTTCATGATGATGATGTCTGATTGGCGTTGCATCAAAGAAACGCGTTTCCGCGTCCACTCGAGTTGCTCGCGTTCAATGGCGACCAACTCGGACTCATCTTCCTCGACTTGACGCTTCTCGCCAAGTTGCGCTTTTGCTTGTTTGCGCCCAATGGGTCACTCACTCGAGCCTTGGTTCGCAACCCCCTTCTTTGCGTTGTTGGCTCTGGCCGTCGACCCTTCCCCATCCTTCTTCTTCTCAAGATCCATCCACTTTGGCTCATTCTTGAGGAGAGCATAGCAATGGCTTAGATTCCAGCTTTGCTTGTGATATCTCTCGAACAGTGCTTTGGCAGCTTCCACCTTCATGAGTGCTTATTTGCATTGATATTAATAACCTTGGTGATAGGATCATGTCTACTATGAAAACTATATCAACGTATACACTATGATAATCACCGCGTCAGTTATATTTGTGCCACTTCTATAACCACTCTCCACTTTAGCAACGCAACCAATGTACTTGGAAACTCTAGGGTGGATATAAGTCCAACGATCCTTGACCGACTTTACTGTACGTTCAACGATGTGAACTTCAATTCCAGTGCTTTTTAGAACAAGTTTTGCGCTTTCTTCATGCGCTATAAGAAACTTTTGGGGATAGCAATCCAAAATGCCTCTCCTTTCAATTCAACGCCTGCAATAGGAAACATGCTCGGTTTGGAAACCCTTTCCTCGGCCGCTGTTGATAAGTTCCGTATCGTTGCTGCTGCTGTTGTTGGGATTCATGGGAGAAAAATAGCAGAGAAAGGGAGGAAGAAGAAAAGTTTTTAACACGTCGGCAAACTGACTGTATATTTGCCAGTGTTGGCATTTCCGATGGCCTCCTTTTCCGACGGTGTCGGTAATGGGGGGGTTACCGACGTCGTAATGTCGGAAATTCATAAGGATGATCTTCGAACTATGAATAAAGTGTAATTTTATACTTTAGTACATTCA